ATACAACAAGAAAATAAATGTAGTATGAAAGCAAAAACGTGTCACGCGTGTTGCGTTGGTTTGAAGGGAACCAAGCTTATACACCCTAGGGGAAAACCGTGCAAACAAGCATTTGAGTAAGTAAGGAAGTTTGCAGAAGTTTTGCATATGTCTACAGTAATTGGTTCTGTATCGCTAAGTTTGAAATTGTCCTTATGCCAAGCGACCTAGTCTTAATTTTTTTGTCTTTGTCGTTTACTGATTGATTACGTCTTTTTATAGGACCGCGGTTCGAATTGAAATAAAGTGTATCAGCTCTTACCGTGTTTTCTGCGTTCGCCCAGACCGTGCGTGAGACTAGCCTTGGCAGCTTCCAGCTTGCCCTCATTTACGCTTATCTGTTTCTAGAAAAGTTGACTAGTTTGGCTTATTGTGCTTGATAAAGATTTACTCAGTAGTAAAGCCACTACTTTGAATGATGTTGAAACGGTGAAATCTATTGTTAGTGAACTCAACGCAACAAAGAATAGTATTATTGAACTAGAATTCTATCTAAAGATATATAAACACTTATTAAACGGGGAAGAAATAAATGCAATTGTTAAGCTGGAGGGTGTAAATCGTGTTGTTGGTGAATCGGTTGGACATATTAGACCGATGTCAAAAACCCATGGGGGGGATATGACAAATGAGAAGATAAATAATCAGGATTCCAGCTCTATAACCGGATGTTGCTCACACTTCGGTCATCGCACATGCATATGGGTTCGAGTCATTAGCGGCTAGGAGGCGACTATGCCGTGCGTTGTCAATCGTAGAACGAGTGTTCTTACGGATAGTTTTGGAAAGCATAGGGGGAGATTACGTAAGCGGATTTTGATCGCTTTCACTGTGGCCAGAATGTGACTCTTAATCCTCCTAGATCGACGACTGCAAACTAAGTAAATGATTCGAAATACCTTGGCCACATCAACTGCGTGGTTTCACTCCATTAGGTGTGAAGTGATTAAACAGTTGATAGTCCTAACCAGTCCATAATTCATTTAGGTTGGGTGATGCTCACAGACTCACTCCGATAAGCGTTTGCTGGTGAAGTCAATGTAACTTGTCTCACAGGAAAAACCGATTTCAATGCATCGTCTAATATCGAAGCCGTGGTAAGATGTTTACCCGAACCTCTCAAGACAGAATGGTTCAAAACTCGTTTTCAGTGATCTATATTAGTTGGGCTTCAGTCTTCGTAATTGATGGCAGAGGACAGGGTGCCTGTGTAAGCCCCATCACAACTGAGTTGAAGGTCGGATCACCAGTGTTCGTTCCTCCATAGCCCCTTCAGGTGCTCATCCAGACGCCGTTTGAAAGCAGCGTCTGTCTTCTCTTCTACAACAATCGCTGGAAGGGAATTCCAGAGTGTTGTTGACCTACGCGAGAGTCGGTAGACTAACGGAAGACCAACTGACTGAAGTTCCCGCAACGTGAGAGAGTGCCCCCGCGTGCGGTCCTCCGTCCGTAAAGGTAAGTACTGTTACAGTTCCGGGCCCATGTCACCTCTCAGAATCTTCCTCAGGCAGATGAAATCTCCCCTGAGGAGTCGATACGCAATTGGAAACAGACCAGTAGCCTGTAGACAACCTTCATAGCTAGTCCCGCGTAGTCCAACAACGAGTCTAATTGCAGCACGTTGTACATGCTCCAACTTATCCAGTTCATCGGCCGCACCACCATACTCAAGTCTTGGTCTGACATGGGAAGCGTGCAACAGCCTTAAAGCGTCCATCGGGAGCTGGTTGAAAGACCGCCGAATAGGCCCCAGAATGCTCCATGCGCTAGCACAGACTAGTGATGACGTAACCGTAACACCCAGGTATCGTTCGCACGATGTTCTGCGCAATGTGTTTCACTGGAAGTTGTAGACTACCTCTGAGTCAGCACACTCCAAGTGCAAGTGAACACACGTTGCTGTGTTGACTGGAAGAGCCCGAGTATCCGTCCACTGAGCCAGGTTGTTGAAATCCGCTTGAAGAGAACTTCTATCATTCAAATTCTTGATTGTACGCCAGATTCTGATGTCATCCGCATACATGAGAGATGGGCTGCGCAGTTGACTGGGAAGGTCGTGCACGTATACCACAAAGAGCAATGGACCAAGAACCGAGCCCTGGAGGACCTCACTGGGAGCGGAATACCACAAAGAAAGCAATTTGCCAACACGGACGCAGAATTTCCGGTGGATGATGAAGTCTCGCAGCCAATTCCGCAAGACCACACCTAAATCTAGGTTGGACAGGTTTCGCAGGAAGTCGTGCGGCAACTTGTCGAAGGTCTTGCTGAATTCCACGAAGATGATGTCCGTTTCGAGTCCTTTGGCCTTGTCCTCGGTCCAGCATTCATGCACAAGTATCAGGTTTGAGAGGTACGAGCGACCCGGCTGGAAACCGTCTTGTTGGTAGCAGAGGTGACCGTGGCACACCAAATGCTGTCGAAGCCGTGCAGCCACCAGTCAGGGAAAAATCTCAGTTTTTGTTGCGAGGGAGATGTATTAGCTTTACTCCGGTGGATTGTTGAGAGATCTTTGAAGTTCGTTCAGTTGGGTGAAAGTCATCTCCGTATAATGTCAATGTTCACGTCAGTCAGCCTTCCGCGAACCTTTTCTTGTATATGTTGTAAGAATAATCACTATTCAGATCAGTGCACTGCCTATAAAGCGCTTGAAATTGAAAACAGAGCGGACTTCGTCGAATAAGCATGAACTTTACCATATTGTTTGAAGGCGAACCACGAGGCCTCAGTGTTTTGGTCGAGGAAAACCTATCATCTAAACGGGTGCATTGAACAGCAACACCGTCTACTGCACCGCCCCGAGAAATAAGTCCCTTACGGAATCTCGAAAAGAAAAGCTACGTGGACTGCGACCAGTGCAGTGGCGTTAGGCATACTACCGGTGAGTGTTTGAGGTAAAGATGAAATGAAAGAAAACAATGTGATACTAGATTCGGGATCCGATTCTTCTTTGATGAGAACATATTGAAATGTTTGAAGTTGAAAACATCTGCATTTGAAATCAACTTAAAGACCGAAACATCAATCGCTTGCTTCGAGCCCAGGGTAACGACAATTGATTTGTATTCCGTAGAAAGTAACAAACAATTCCGATTAGACAAAGTTTGCCCTGCGAGGAAAAATCCTCAGGTTTTCGAAGCATTACCAATTGCCGCACAAATCAAGGAATGGAATCATCAGCAGGATATCCCGCTTCACAGAAAACTTCAAATTCCGGTTGGCATTTTTATAGGTATGAATGCATCGCAAGCAAATTGGGTCTTAGAACATCGGTACGGACAGTCCTCAGAGCTGTTTGAAATTTGCACACCTCTCAGATGGATTTCTCTCGTACCTGTGAGTCAATCGGTAACGAAGGGTACATTATTGATCAACCGGAATAGGCGTAAATCCAAAACCGCTCATAAGGTCACGGGGCACACGCATGATGAAGAATTTCCAACACTAATCAGAGCACGCCCTACTAAGCCCGTGGAAAAGGCCCTAGAGTTGAAGAAATTATCCGCATGAAAGTGTTGATCTCACCAAAAGATAAATCTTATATGGAAGGTTAACATTTAGAGACAGGCGGATGCAATTACGCGACCTGCGACAGCGATCCGATCTCTAATTCTCCCGTGTTTCTCGCTCACCCTGTATGGATCAGTAGAACAGCCGGTTAGTCGAAGGAAAGTATATTGTTCCATGAAGGCACTAGACTGACTGTGCTAGAGAGTGTCTGAAAGCGGAAAGTGCTTAACAAGGAAGGTGTAACACTGAACTCACGCACCGGTAAACGTGAAAGTTACTTCACCGGGGGGCAGTGACTTAAACAAATATAAAAGACCTAGCTGAAGAAGCCGTCTCAGGATATCACAGATCCTGGCGGAATCTATGCTACAAAGGAGCAGGATGCACGAGCGAATGCTCCAAGCCATCAATGCCTGCAACCATGCGAAAGCATACATGCGGGACAGGCAGACAAAGGTGGTGACAATTCTCGAGCTTGTTACACTGTCGATCTCAAGCCATTACAAACTGTCTGAACCAGCGGTCCAAACCTTCAGGTGCATAACCAATGTCTATAATTGTACTCAACGGATTGCACAGAGTGGCAGCTGGCGATAGCAATTCACGAGACAAAAGAGTACGGTATCTACCGAAGCATGCTGATAAGCATCCTAAGACGTTTCATCGTGCCTCAATTTAAGAGTTTACATAGAAAACTACATCAGTGTCCGATTGCATCGAGATAAGCCACATATGGACGAAAGCGATTCCACCGCAAACACAAGGCGATGCTCAAACGCTGGGAAAATGTAAATTCGCTTAAAGAGAATTCGAAAAAAAGTTACAAATACAATACAATACGAGCATTTGCAATGTGACTACTAACATTCGTTAAGTAGTCTAAATACAAGCAACAAAATGTATGTAATGCGCTTTACTGAATTTTGAATACTAAATTACGGAAGTATTATTCATTCAGTAACTGCTTGCAATTATGCTGTTGTTCTGTGTTCATAACTGTACACATCTGTGCTGGTTTGAGTGCATGACAATTTTACACGTCATTCTCTA